ACAATATTTCTGTCGTAATATTGGTATACAGCATACGTAATTATAATAATAAAATAATTATATAATTGTTATTATATAATTAATAATTAGAATAAAAAATTGTCTAATACACATAAAATTTGCTATAGTTAAATATGTTTATCAATGAGAATTAACAACTTTGCCAAAACTTGCACAAATTCTGGTCTCGTGATTATTTATTTATTTTATTTAAATCTACTGCATTTATCCATGCAATATATTCAATTTAGATGTGTATTAATATATATTTGTTTCTTATTTATTAGTTTCACTTATGTATCTTTTGAAAAAAGGTATCATTGCCATTAACAATTTTACTATAGTGTAAGATGAACCTGTATACCATGTACATGAGAATTAGAACGTTGCAATATACAACTATGCTGCAAATATTTTCTGATATTATGCACGATTACAATGCCTCGTCATTGAAATACCATGATAAATGCCTTTTATTCTTACAGCACCAACGTTCACTATGTATGTATTTACAAGAAATCAAGATACATATATTCTCATAACATTTATATTTATAAATCTTTAATATTATTTTGTTATAATTATTATAAATTTAAATTATAGACTAATTAAAAAATTCTTTATAATATAATACATATATACATTATTCATTATTAATTAAACTATTTATTGAATAGTAAGGCGATAAATTATTAGCGCATAAATTTTTTTATTCGTATCAAATACCTGATTAATTATATGTAGATTTTAGAAGATAGTAAGATAGCTAGGAAACAATTATGAGATATAACAGGCATAATGATATTCCAAAATTGGAAAAATCTGTCACAGAAATCAGAGGTTTACAGAAATAGCATTTCTAGTCGAAAAACAGGTGAGTGCAAGCTATTGGTAACAAAATTATATCTTATGAATTATGTAGCATTACTAAACGTAAACTTAGAAAATATTTATACATATATACATTTAGAATCTTTTTCTCGCGGGGAACAAGAATATTTTGCTAATAAAACCACGGATAACATCGATGGTGAATATGTTCAACTCAGAAAGTCAGAACAGAGAAGTCACAGATATAGAAAGATATTATAAATGCTCAGTTATTTTTGATAGGATGATATCATAATGAGTATATTATCTTATAACGGAAAATCAAAAATGCTATTATCATAAGTATAATAGTGATAACATGTCTTTTATTTATTGTCACATCATTTTAGAACTGTTTCAGAAATATAATCTTATAAAATACCTTCTGAATATACTTTATTTTAAAATACTTTAATGTTGATGATTATACACACACACACACACACACGCGCGCACACACACACACGTGTGTGTGATGAATTTACATAATTATAACTACAATTATTTTTTTTTAATATCTAAATAATTTTTATAGTACTTTACTAGTGCTTTTGCGCTGGGTCTCAATTTGTAATTTGTGGTACATACAAAAAATATTTCTAATATGTTATGATAATCTTCACTGAAGTCAATAGCAGGTAGAGGTGGACGTGTACCTATATAAAATAAGATTTTTATTTTATTAATTTAATTTCTACTAATTTAACTTAAAATAACATTATAATTAACAGGTATATTTCAAATTGCTACTTACCATATTTATTTTCGTTTATACTAACATCAGATTCATCAAGCTGATTATTTTCTTTAGATGTAGTGCAGCTATCGGAAGATTCATTTTCATTAAAATCTTGTTGGTGAGGTGCCGATAAAGCTATCATTTCCCAAAGGACAAGACCATATGTCCAAATGTCAGCAGCACTCGTCACTGGTTCATCTTCTGCAAGAAAAATTTAAAAATTTTTTAAAAAATCAGACGCGAATATCATAAATCAAACAAATGTAGAAGTAAGATTTGTGAAGTAATGTAAAAAATTATGAATTATAAATATACGATACATCACAATTTTTATGTAATTTTTATGTAAATTTAAAAATTATAACACATAAACAAGCAAACGTACCTGATATAATTTCAGGAGGATTCCAACATGTTGTCCCAAGATAAGAAAAATTGCCTTTTGACGTGTCTATGTTTAAAGATTTTGTCAAGGGTAATGAATTTCCAAAGTCACACAGTTTAATTGTATTGAAATCATTGGACACCAAAATGTTCCAACTTTTTATATCTCCATGTAATATGTATGCAGTGTGATGTAGATACTCGAGACCTTTTGCAATTTCAAAACCGACTTTCAAAATGTTCTTGGCTGGGAATGGTTCATTTTTTAAGATTTCCCGTCTCTCCTCAATTTTGTCACCTGATTTACCATGTTAATATTAATACAAACATCTTTAAAATGTTCAAATAGTTTAGTTAGCTCTATAAATACCAAGTGACATATCCAATGCTTCCATAGCCAAACAAGACTTTCCATCTGCTCCTTTGGTGAATGCTCTGAAACCAATGATGTTGGGGTGATTCAATTGTCGTAGGACGTCAGCTTCTAATTGGAGTTTTTTATCATTGCTCTCACTGCTTTTTCCTCTCAGCCATTTCTTTACTGCCCATGGAGAGCATGGTTCAGAGCCTACTTTGGACGATCTTTCAAACATGTATACCCCAATTCCTGATAGAAGGCATGGAAATAAAATACAAGATAAAATGTAGATTCAAGCATAGTAAATAATAAAATTAAAATTATAGCAATACAATAAAGCATTAAAAATTATTATATAATTTCTCTCTCTTTCATCATCCCTAATCTTTTTTTTTTATATATAAATCATAAAGAACAATAACTCTATTTTAGCAAAATAATACAAGTTTTAAATAATAAGTTAATCACATACTAAGTCAAACCTTGGTTAAATTAATCACAACTTGGTCCAAATCTAAATATTTTTTATTCCTTTTATCATTTGAATGATAAATAGAAAAGTAAATATAATTATATACAATAATCAGATATTTTTGGATCTAAAACAGGAAATTTTATTAAACAGAAAGAAAAAACTTTATAGATATAAATACAACAGCTATTTATTTTCAAAAAAACAATATAATTATTTATATTTTTATTCAAAATTATCTGCTTAAATAAGGAAGATAAATTCTTAAGAAATGTATAATATTCTTAAATAAAATCAAAATTAATTTTCATTATTAACACTGCTTTAAAAATAAACTCAAGGATGAATTTTCTTCTGCTATTCACATTTTAATTTTGTTCATTGAAAAGAAAACTCATTTAATTATTGCATTGAAATCTATTCTATAATGTACTTTTTGTTTCTTGTTCCTTGATTTTTTTCCTTTTTACAGACAATTGTCTCACCTTGTTTCTTTCAAAGTTCATTAACTTTTATCTTGTGCAATAGAAAACAAAAATGGGATAAAAAGAAAAAAATAAACAATAAAAATAGCAAAATGTAAGAAACAGGACACAAAAAGCACATATTTTATTAAAGTAGATTTTACAATTTGCCAAATAAATAAAATCAGAATGTCTAAAGAGCTACATTCAAAAAATTCTTCAAATAAACTTTTACTCGATATAATATAGTACGTTACATGTACTATATTTCGAATAAAATTTTTTTCCAGAGAAAAGATCTTGGAGTATATTAAGTAGAACTTAAGTAAATATGACAAAGATACATGTGAGATACATTATACATACCAGTGCCAGAGCCTATTTTTTGCAGCAAAGGTGAAGCTGGTATTTTTATGGGAGTATTTAATTCGGCTTTGTTTATTATCCTCACATTCATTCTTGGCGGTGGTGTACTAAAGCCAGTGTACTCAGCCATGTCACTGTCAAAAATTACGAATAAAATTGAGAGAACGACAACGGAAATGAAAATGGATCACAAAACAGACGCTTCAAAAATCGTTGGCTTTCAAACAATTTGAATCTTATGGAAACTGCGCAAGTCCTTGGCAGCCAATGACTACGTTTACACCGTGCTCTTAAGGCTGCCGCACATAAAATTTCTATAATAGTAACCTTAAAATATACATACTTAAGCCGATGAGCCAATCAGGATACTGCTTTAGATCTACCGGAAAAATAATGAAAATAACAGTAAACTTAATTGATTTAAACGCAATTATTAAATAGATCCGTTAAAAAAATAAGAGTATCGATAAAGTGTGCATAAAAATAAGTTAATATATTCTAAAAAAATCATACTATTGTGAGTTTGTCATTTAAGCTTTTAAGACTTAAATACAATAGGCACAGGCAACAGAGAATAACGAGCAGTCCAATCAAAGCTCTGGTGTGTAAGTTCAATATTATATTCCTTTACTGTACCGCGTATCGCGCTTCATGTAATCGCACCCTAACGGCTCTGCACACTAGCCGCGGAAACGTTTATCGCACAGCAAAATAAGACCGTAACCAATGAACACATTAGGAGCTGTAAGCTTATTGGCTATCGCATCACAATTTGCAAAAATCATAATTAGAGCTACATTCCAAAACTTCCTCTCTGAGGAAATTTACTCGAAATATATAATACACGTAACATATACTATATATAGTATATAGAGTAAAATCTTCGCAGGAAGTTTTGGAACGTAACCCTAGATAACCATAGGAACCGCGCAAACCGTATGATGTAAGATACAGTATGGTGTAAAATGTGTTTATTTATACTATATTAATTCCAAGTGTTTGATCATATTAATTTTTAGATTAAATGAAAAGCACCTGATAATAGTCGTTTACCAAACTTAACAAATTCTAATATGAAAATGCTACAATTATTTTATACATCAGACATTGTTAGTCGCAAATTGAAACGGAAGAAGCAAAATATCAGTAGCAATATCACTTAGCCTCTCATTTGGGCAAAAGTTTGTTTCTATTAAATATGATATCGAATGTACTAAATTTTAACAAGAAAATTTCAACTAATAAGGAATACAGAATGTATTTGGTAAGTTTTTATTTCTGTAGTTTATACTGTTCAAATTTTTCAGTTTTAATGCGTCAAATAATAGAAAGTTTTTTTGGCTGTTTGAAGTAGATTATATCATGCTGATTATAATTGTGATTATATGTGTATTGTAAATATATGAATTATTATTATTGATTTGACAAAGTATTCCAGAATTTGCGACTTATTTTGTGAGGTTTGAAAAGAACATTAGAAGTCGATATGTCAATCATTTTGAAGCGATAGTGTGATTCAAATAGGACATTCTTTTTTGTACTTGTTATTATTGTTTCATATACCAAATAGATTTTTTTCTTATCATTCCAAATATATCTATAAAGCAATGTATCAAAAAGTTTGAAAATGTTAAAATGTAGAAATATAATATTAAAAATTACTACTAATATTTAATTCATATTATAATATTAAAAATACAATAATAATGTTAACAGTTATGATAAGAATACATTAATTCTTTCATGTCATGTAATTTTAATTTTATTTTTATCTTTAATTTTTCAATATTTTACTTTTGAATACTTATACATTGCTTGCTTCTTCATATATATTGTATATTGCTTTTATATCTTTTTTTGTATCTTTTGTATTTTTTTTTTAGCCTAACATAAAAACAAGTATTTTTTTTAGATTAAATTCAGTTATATTTTTCAATATAGTCTCCTTTTAATTCAATACACTTCCCAGCGATGCTTCCACTCCTTTAACCCATTCAAATAATAGTTGACATCTTGCTCTGCAAAATAGGTTTCTACAGATGTGATGACCTGTTTGTACGATGAAAATCTCTGTCCTCTGAGCCAAACTTTGAAGGAAATAGGAAATAGGAAAAAGTTGCTGGGGGCCAGATCTGATGAATAGGGGTAGTCAATCAATTCAAACTGCAATTCATTTTTGCCATGGCAACTGTCGAAGTGTGAGGTGGTGCATTATCTTGATGGAACAGCACTTTATTTTTCATAAAATGTGGCCGTTTTTTTTCATAATTTCTGCCTTCACCTTGTCAATTAATGATGCGTAATACACTCTCGTTATTGTTTCTTTTTTGAGATAGTTGATGAACACAATTCCATGACTATCCCAAAAAACAGTTGCCATCACCTTGCCTGCTGATGAAACCGTCTTCATCTTTAGAGCTGGTTCACCCTTCCACTGTTTTGACCGTTTCTCCGTCTCAGGAGTGAAGTAGTGGATCCAAATTTCATCAACAGTTACTAATCGATGTAAAAAATCTGATTTGTTTTGCTTAAATCGCTCCAACAAAGCCTTAGAAATGTTCATTCAAATGCGTTTTAGGTCCACAGTGAGCAAACGCGGCACCCAACGCATGGTTAACTTACGCATGTTTAATTCTTCAGTCAATATATGACAAACACGTTCTATCGATATACCCATAGCCTCTGCTATCTCTCTAACTTCGACAGTCGTCCAGTACCATTTGATGAATTTTTCAATGTTATCGGTGGTGGTCGCAGTTATTGGCCGGCCTGAATGCTCATCATCAGCCAAGCTAGTACGACCACGTTTAAATTCAACTGCCCATCTTTTCACGGTAGCAAATGATAGGGCAGAGTCTCCGTAAACAGCATTCAACTCGGCTTTAATTTTCGCAGGCGTATTGCCTTTTAAATACAAGAATTTAATCACGGCGCGATATTCGATTTTTTCCATTTTTACAAAAACACCGACATCGACTGGAACAAATGACTGTCAAATAACAAAGCGTTTCAAATAGCTACAATTTTCATAGGTATTTTTCAAAACAGTGCTGGAATTTACTTGCAATCGGAAGGGGGAGAGGGGGAGGGAAAGGGAGGGAGGGAGAAAGAGAGAGAGAGCAAACTAATTTTTTCCGCCTAATGCCATCTAAATACAAGATTAATTATAGGAAATTCCGAACTTCTAAGGCTGGGTTTTCACTTACGAAGCTCATTTTCAGCATCAAAACAGGTCACGTGATCAAAATTGACGCTTGATATTCGTCAATTTGACGAAATCATCAATTTTCTTGATTTCTATATCTCAATAGTATCAATTGATATCTACAGAGCTGCAAACTGTCCTTTATGATTAGACTATAAAATGAAATTGTTTATTTTTACGAATAAATAAAAAATATCCTATTAATTGAAAATTTTTTTTGCTTTAATAGAAACTGATAATAGTTTTATATATTAAAAATAGATCGTTGCACATGAATGTAGCATACGCAAGGCGTGTTTTCTTAAAAGTAAGATATATTTTTAGTAAAGCGAAAGAAATTTTCAATTAAGAAGATCACGTGATCAAACTCGCCATCTGCTAGCTCGCATCTCAAATTTACATTGCCGAACGCACCTAATGATATGTGGCTTGTGACAAAATTAAATGTTTCGTTGCTGACGCATTTAATTTCACACTAGAGGTGAAAATAAAATTCTTTTCGATATATTTATATTTTCGATTCTCAGAACAAAACCTTAATCATTTACTTCCATTTTGCATCGGGCGTGAAACAAAATGTACAGTGTTTGCTTCTGGTTTTGTTCCTGGGTCGAACTTCTCGAGTTTTGTTTTGCGTACTATCCTAAATTTATTTTCGATTCATATTGGGTGGTCCGGAAAGTCCGTGCGGATTTTACAATGAAAAATTGTATATACGATACCTTCGTCAAAAATGAACGAAATTTAAATTTAAAAAAAGGGTTTTAAAGCTTGAAATCTCTATTTTTAAAAGCTTACCACATTTTTTAAGTTTATATGAGTTTGATAATTTTTACATACCAAAAACTACGAGCTGAAAAAGATAAAAAATTTTCTTTTCACTTTGGGGGTCTCTCACGTGCCCAAAAAAAATTTACGAAAATTTTCGACTACCCATCGTGAAAACTTAAAGCTTTCCCTACAAAATCATTTTTTAAAAATGTTCCTATAATTTTTTGTTTCTGAGTTATTCGCGAGTTAAATAAAGAAGCATTCTGATTTCGATTGCTCATAACTCCGATAAAAATCATCATATCGCAATTTAAAAAACAGATTCTTAAAGCTGAAACTTTGCTCTAGCGAATGATATAATCGTAACGAAAATTTCGCAACAAATAAAAAAACTTTTGAAAAATCAATGAAAAAATCCGCACGGACTTTCCGGACCACCCAATATATATAAGAGGACTTACCTAAAATGATGACCATTCGTTAACAACTCCACACAACAGAGGACGTCCTGAGGACCTGTGTCCTTTGGACATTCTGAGAACATCTTTGTGACGTATTCCAGATAAGGTATGTTATTATAGTACAATCTCTGTCCCTTAATCTTTTCGTTCCTCAACTTTCGTCTCTTGGTTCTTAACTTCATCGTAGTGTTATTCGTTTTATGTATTTAGACGACGATATACCAGATACGTGATAAAGTAATTCGCAATTATGGGTACCTTAAAATAAATTACAAAATAACTTTTCTATTTCGCGTACTATACTCACAAACGAGACCACGAAAACCTATGGGAAATTCGACAAATGTGATTTTGGTGCCATCACGCCTTGCGGGAAAAGTTGGAAATATTGACTCACAAGTGGTCACAGGTCACATGTATGCATTTACTACATACATACATGCATACACGCACGCACACACACACGCGCGCGCGCACGCGTGACCTATGACCACGTGATAGTCAACTTTTCCTGCAAGGTGTGATAGCACCGTAATATATAAGGTATTAAAAAGGTTCGACAACTGTTTTCTGACCGAACTTTATTCAACGATAATGCAAGCAAGCTTATATGGACTAAGTCGGAGATATGTTACTAGCAGCTTATGAAAATAGATTAACTCGATCAGAGCTAGAGGGATCTTCACTACAATAAAAGAGGTGGAGATTTCGATAAATTTTAATCAATAACGTGACATTTTCGAATATCAAAAATATGCGTGATGGGGATGAAAGAAATGTGAGTGTCAATGACTC